CCGCCGGCAGGATGGGAGGCGGCGGGTCGGCGCTGAGGGTCTGCGCGGAGCACCGCGGGGGCATCAACTGGCTCAGCCTGAGTCCGGACGGCCAGCGCCTGCTCACGGGCAGCGAGGACGGCACGGCCCGGCTGTGGAGCGCGGCGGACGGCCAGTGCTGCGCCCTGCTGCAAGGTACGCGCTCCCGCTGGCTCCTCCGCTCGCGTGCCGCCCGCCTCGGCTCTTCCTCCCGCAGACCCCGTCCCCGGAATCCAGCCCCCAGCCACCCCGGCCCACATCCGACCAGCCGGGCGCACGCGGGTGGGAGGGGTGCTGGGTGGGGTAGCGCCGGGGCGCAGAGCTGGCTGCGATCGGGGTCAGTGGGCCAAGGGGCGCCCTCTACGGGGGCGAAGATCACTTGTCAACCCGCTGCGTGAAATCATTTCCATTACAAAAGTTTTAACGAACAAAAAGAAATCACACCTATGCCGCTTCAGCTCGCCAGCGCCTTCCCTGGTCCCACCCCCTGGCGGGTCACCTTTGACCAGACATATCTCCCGGGGCAGTCAGGGTAGCAACCAGGGCTTGTTAGGTGTGGCAGTACCAAGCACGACAGTGTACATACAGTCCTCACACGACTGTTATCCCGCAGGTGCAGACAGGGAAACTGAGGCCCAGAGTTAAGTAACTTGCCGGGGTCGCACAGCCAGTGGGGGGTAGAGTTGAAATTCGAACCCCGCTCTCATTCCTCCGCCCCGCCCTGCTCTGCCCTCTTCTGCCCTCGTCATCTGTAATTTAGCACATTAGGAAAGTGGACGCAATAACAGGAGTTTTATACAAGTTTTACAAATACATATCGGTTTATATTTGTGTAGTTACTCATCGGAGGTGGATATATGGGTCCCCGTCACATCATATCAAGTCCCTGGCTGGGGCTCCTAGCTGTCTGAGCCCTGCGGGCAGGGGTGGTGGCCGCGGTCATCTATGGGGGGAGGGGGCTGCAGAGAGCAGGCCGGAGAAGAGGCGGGGTCTCTGGAGGGAGGGCAGAGGGGAGAGGAGGC